GGTCAAATCAACCTAGCTCAACTAGGAGATTTGCTAGTTGGAGTAAGTCAAAACTAGCCAGAGAGAGAGAGTCTGAAGCAGTAGAAAGAATTAAAGTCTGAAGGTGTTTCTCTAACAGATGCATATGGACGGATAATAACCCCTGGCTCGGATGCAGCTAAACGGGAAAGGATTCATTTAAAGAAGGCCAAGAAACGTCAGGCCTGGAGAACACAGGTTCCCTTTCAAAAATTAGTGAGTCATGAGAATTTAGGCAATAAATGAATAATTGTGGGGTAAGGTTAACTAAGTATTTTAAGGTTATTGAAGATGTTAAATCACACCAATTTAGCAGAGAGTGGGTTCAATGTGTTTTAATATAACAATTAGCTCTGGGTAAAGGAGGGGGAGCCCGGGGCTTTTATGCCACAGGCTTTCTGCTCTGTGAAATCATGGCTGCATTTTGCCGAATGGGGCCGGAACCCCAAACTATCCAGCTGACTGGCTTTGGGTTGATTTTACATTTTCTTAAAAACAAACAAACAAACAAAAAAACAAAAAAAAAACACTAAAGTTTATTTTAAAAGAAAACTCACAGAAATAAGAATCTCGCACCGTTAGGGGTGGAAGGGCATGCGAGCCGTGGTTGGAACTTTCCATTTTACAGATGAAGAAGCAGTGTCTTCTTCTGAGGTGGGAAGGCGGGAGATTGCCAATCTTCCGCCTGCAAGAACCTGTGAAATCTAAGGAACTGAAGCGGCTGCACAAAAGTCGCACAGCTGCCACACGGCGGACACGGAATGTGGACTCGGTGGCCTGGGTTCCCCTCCTGGCTGGCCGCCAACGTTAGATTTTAAAGGACTTTTCTTCAGTGCCTTCACCCAAGGCAGGTAAATAACCCATTTATTAGGCTGGGTCCTCCCCCACCCCACCCCATTTCAGTCACTTTTCTGGGTAGTTTAAACATAACCTTGGGAATATCGCCAGTAACAGAAGGAGCACAATTCAGATGTGCCCGGAGACAGCCAAGTCAGTCAGAATTCAGCACGCTGAGGGTGTAGCAGTAAACACGCTTCTGAGACCAGGAAACAGTGGATACGGTTATGTGCAATCCAAATGCTCTGCGATACGCGCATTTGGGTAAAAGTGACCTGAAATTTGACCCAACACCGAAAGGCAGAGTGTTCGTTTTGCTGAAGAGCATAGCCCTAACTAGCTAGAAAATCAGTAGGGATGAAATCTTTTGTCTTGAGCTTATGCTTCAAGCTGTTGCCAAGCCACCACGGCATTTCCCTGGGGCATGTGATATGGTGTGGAATCATTTTGAAAAATGCAATGTAAATCTCTCAGCAGTGATGATAGAGCCAAGTTATCCCTCACCCTGGGGCTGGAGCAGTCTATCTTTTTTACACCACATGGATCTCTGATTCCCTCATATACACCATATGCTCCAAACCAGAGTTTGAAAAAAGAAAAAGAAAAAAAAAAAAAAAAGAACTTATGTTCCTTCAACATGTAAATAAATGTTCAGTCTTACTCATAAGAGAAATGACTGGGCAGACCACAGGGAGATGTAAATCTCCTAACCCATGGGGGATCCTAAGTTTGCCTTGGCATGCCTGTGAGGAAAATGAACCTCCACAGATCAGTAGCATGAATGCAAACTGGTACATGGTTCAGGGGAGAATTTCAGTATCTAGGAATATTTATTTCTAGATCTATTTCTAGAAATCAGTCTCAAAGACACACTGGAAACACATGAAAAGCTGTTAATTTAAGAGATGTTAATTGCAGCACTATTACTCATTTAAAAGCAAAGAAAACACCGTCAAATACCCGTTAATAGGAGATTGGCTAAATAGTGGCCTATTCTATGGCTGTAAAAGGGAGAAAGATCTTTAGATGCTGCCAACATCTAAAATGCTGTTAATTAAACAAAACGAAAACAAAGAGCCAATATACCATAGTGTATACCGGAGGGTTTTTATGTTTGGATGTATGACTAAATTTAAAAGTGGAAATTTAACCCTACAACTACCAAAATATCTCAAGTTAGGGCAGAGGGGACAGGATAGCAACTAGGTTCTCCATCCCCACCCCGCCATGGTTTTTCATTTTGAATACTTGAGGTATTTTATCTAATTTTAAAACAAAACAGAAAAAGCTCAGTGAAACAAAAGAACATTATCGTGATGGACCTGGGACTTAGCCACACATTGGAATAACTTCAAGTGATTTTAAAATCCGAACAACTTTTAACTGCATCCCAAGTGGGGTATACTCAAAGCCTAAAAATAACCACATGAAATCTGAAGCCATTTTTAGTTGTTATATTTTTAGCAATAATGTATGTGAGGTAATTTTGAGAACATATATTTTAAGCAAGTAAAAATTACATTAATGCAGTAGGAGGAAGAAAAAGAGGCAGAAGAAAAATACAAATGCAAATTGAAACTCAAAGTACAATAAAATTTCACTAATCTTAAAACCAAGCTGAAAATATTAAAATGAATTTTTGGTATAACTTTGCTTAAATATAGACGGTATTAAAAGCGATCTATCCAATAGCAATGAAAACGCTTAGTTGCAAAACTGATTCTTAAACAAATTTTCTTCTTGAAAGATCCAAGGCTCCTTGGAGAGATGGCTAATTTTTAAGTGGAAGGACAGAAGTTATAGATGATAAGGATGGAACATTAGGCCTACCCAAATGCAAGAAGTTTATCAAAGACCATAGGGTCATGTCAAAAGAATACAGGACGAACATGAAGACTCCCCCCTGCTTGTGAAAATGGAGTGTTTTAATCATAAAAAAGAGTAACCAGCACAGACTGAAAGGTAGCAGTTATGTTAAAATCCATGCATTCGGAAAGATGTATTTTAAGAACCTGTCTTGGTGGCAACATGTAAAGAATGCCATGGAAACAGCACATTATTTTCGAAATTAGTAAGTTAGAGGAAATTATCAATCACTTGTCCTGCTTGGCTCTTGTTTATACGAGACCATGGCATGCTCAAGTAGTTGAACTGGGAAACTCCTTTGAGGAGACTGTACTGGATGAAGTAGCGACCGTCAGTGGGAACTGGGACAGCCAGCGGGCAGACAGGAAACAGCAATCTACAGAGCTGTCTGTGTCTATGAATTAGGTGGGTTCACTGTTAAATTCTGAGGTCTGAGAGCTGCTGGTCAGGAGGTGTTGGGTATTACCATCTGCAGAACAACCTCAGACAAGGTTACTCTGTCTTAAGCAGGATGGAGCAGAATGAAAACAAGACTACACAATCATCGCTAAAAATAAATAATGTGCATTGTTGAAGCCAAAGCTATGGAACATCCCCTGTTCTAACCATGAAGAGGGAAATGGCTTCTTTGCCAATCATAGATTAGGCTTAATCTGATCTTAGCTCTTTCAAGACTTAACCAAGTGGATAATTACATGATTACTTTTACTTCCTGACACATATGATAGAGAGTCAAATCCTGACCCCCTAAACCTTCTCTAAACATCACAAATGGAAACCCTCATCCTATCAAGTCTTTCTCTCTCACACCATCTGAGATATCCCTTGATTCTCTGTTATCTAGTTAGGGTTGCTACTGCTGTGGTGAAATACTACGAGCAAAGCAACTTGAGGAAGAAAAGGACTGTTTGGCTCATGCTTCCATATACCGTTCATAACCAAAGGAAGTCACCAAACAGGGCCGGAACCTGGAGGCCATGGAGGAGTTCTTCATGGCTTCTCCTGTTTTCTTATAGAATCCAGGACCACCAGCCTAGAAGCAGCCCCATCAACATTTTCCTGGGCCCTCCCCCACCAACCACTAAGAAATGTTCTACAGGCCAGCCTGCCTACAGCCCAATCGTATCAAGACTTTTTTTTTCCAGTTGTCTTATCTCTAATGTCAGCTTGTGTCAAGCTGACATAAAATTAGCCAAGACACCTTTAGTGAGCATTCTCTTTCATTGTATCACATAAGAAATCCATTTTGTTCACGCTCAGGGACATTGTGGTAGTCTTTGCTAGAGTGGCAATTCATGGATTTGATGGATTAAGCTGACAGCAGAATCACCAATCAGTGCTTGCTTTCTGATGGGATGCTCCTGGCACCATTTTTGAAGAAATCATGGTAGAAAAAAGTTGAGCCTGATTCTGATTAAGCCTCTAGCTTTAACCATAAGAAACATTGGGCACACATAAGGAACCGAGTTCAGTTTCCTCATAAAACAATCACTTATTTCTCTTTATTTTCCTAAACAACAAATAAATATAGCGCAGCATGTGGAGAGGATCTTAAGTTTAAACAAAAGTCAGCAGACAGCAACACATTACGTGTCCTCTTTGGATATGATTTGTATAAACTACTAACAAACTAACAATGCCAATAAGAACTGAACTGAGGATATTTAAACAGTGACTAGAGGTTTCTTGTTATTTAATCATGATCATGAACAGTTGTAGGTCTTTTTAAAGGCAACAACAGTCACTTTTAGGGTATTTAGGTACCAAATATGATGCTTGAAATTCATTTTAACGCAATACAGTCATAACAAATCAGCGTTGATGTCACCATTTGCTCATATTTGACCACTAAAGGGCAGTTCTCTTTACTCTGATCCCTATCTTTGATGTGTTTTATAAGTTCCATAATAAACGATTTTTAAAGTGTCTTTAAGCTACCTAATTTAACAGATCCTTTTTGAAAGAAGATATGTTGGATAGAGACAAACTTAAGGACAACAGCTCAGAATGGCTCTAAATTTGAGAGAAGCAATAACAGCTTTAAAAAGTCCCACTACGAAGATTGCTTTCTGACCAATTTCTCAGGAGCTGTCTGATATCACCTATTTCTTTTCCTTTTCTTTCCTGAGTTTTTATTTAATTCACTTACAGATGTGTCAACAGCCTGTGATGAGGAATGAAGAATTATTACCAGGCAGACTAGATGACGGCCTGTGGAGAAACCTTCAATTTAAATGTTTGACTCGTCAAAGAAAGAGATGCATTATTTGAACAGTTACCGGGATCTGTAGCAGACATCAGTGAACCAAAAAATAAACAGTCAGTGAAATGGAAGTCTCCGCTCTTCAGCTGGCCAGCATACACCATGGCCTTCACAAAGCCATACATAATTAACCTGTAAAAGAGAAACAGAAGACCTTCAAACATCACGCTGGATCCTGTGTAAACCCTTGCTAACTCAGAGGACATTCTTATGTGCTTTCTGGATATGGACCATGCATAAACACAATTCTGCCAACTCATGGTCACTATGATCTCTCAGCTCTGGGCGGTACCTTCAATGAATATCACAATCCATCCACCAAGCAAACGGTCAAAAGAACATTTGATAGCATATGCCATGGAAAATAAGGTAAGCTTCAAGGATGTTTAAAAAAAAAAAAAAAAGACAAATGTGGCAGGCACAGCAAATTTTGCCTACAAATCAATATAATCTAAAATCAGTAATAGCCCTTAGAAACTGCAGACCGTCCAATCTCTAAACAGATGCTGAAATCCTCACATGAACTTGTAGTTTAGTTTTTAAAAATTGTGCTGTGGTTGTGAGCATGGCTAAAAAAAAAAAAAAAATGGCTGAATATTAGCTGTTAGAACTAAACAATTTCAACAGTGATACAGGTGCTTTTAACTCTCTTGAGAGACCTACCTCCTTAAGAGGATATTTCAGACAGACTTGAATTTGAACAGTGACTATCACATTCAAGCTATACGATTATTGTAGGGTATTATTAAAACTGTCTATACCTCGGTACATTGTTCATCAGGTGGGATAACAACAATGGCGTACAGACACCTTGGAGGATAAATAAAAAAAAGAAAAAGAAATGTGGGCTGTTCAGAGCTCTTAGCATTCTCAGGGAGCTGCTTACTTTGCTCATGAAGGCGGAGATGGGAAGCATTTGTTTACAGTTTCTGCCTCGTCACATGCTTTAATTAACTTCACCTGCAGTTGAGCCTATAAGGTCAGCACTATCCATTTACACCTGAGAAAACTGAACGCAGGATGATGCGGTCACCTGCTTAACATGGCAAATCAAGCAGGGTGCGTAGGCTTGAACTGAGATGGCCTGATTTCAATGCTGGGGATCCACCACAATGTGTCCCCTGAAGGGTGGCTTCAGTGTTTTCCACTCTACTGATAACCTGTGACCCTTTAATAAAGTTTCCCATGATGTCGTGAGCCCCAACCATAAAATTGTTTTTGTTGCTAATTCATAACTATAATTTTCTTACTGTCATGAATCATAATGAAATATCTGATATGCAGGATATCTGATATATGACCCCAGGGAAAGGGTGTTTTGGCTCCCAAAGGGGTTGTGACCCACAGATTGGGAGCCAGAACCATTGCTCTAGACAGTCCAAAGAGAAGTAATGGAGTACCCCTGAAAACTTGAGGCTGACACCATCCTCTGGATTACACTATTGCATAGATCCACAGTGAGCTAGAGATAAAACGCAAATATGGCTTTGCAGAGTAAGAAGTGAATCTTAACCAGACTGACTGCACTAAGTATTAGTGAACACTGTGCCAGTAGGGTATGACCATAGGAGCTGTAAAGAGGCAAGTCCAAGGGCCTCAACCCGGCTACCAAATACAGATTCTCCCACCAGATCCCGTTGCTTAATATGTATATTTTACTGAACTCCTACTGTATCAAGCCCCCTACTAAGGATTAATGAACCCTCATCTGCCATGTGGTAGTATGGGCGAGGGATAGATGCCCTCCCTACCCCCACCCTCTTGCCACCTGTGGCAGGCGGGAAAGTTAGCCCTGAGGTCATTAAGATAGAGAAAGCTGGCCTGATGTGAGTAGTCTGAATGTCCACCTAAGGATGTGGTGAAGTCCTGGCCAGTGCTGTTGAGGGGACTGTGTCTGGGTTCAAGCCCCAATGTTACCACCAAAGGCCACGAAGACAGCCCTGGTCTGTGCTGCCCGCTGGGACCATGAAGATGGCTGAGGGTTGAGCAGAGCCACTCCCATCCCTCACCGGAGCAGCATGACAGAGCTGGCCCTGGTGAAGGAGATGTCGGGAGGCCATATCACCCCTTGACAGCTGCTGCAGGTAGAAGAGCTGGCCCTGCCCCTCACCTGGGCAAAACAGGAGATCTGGGGGAAGAGGGGACAGACCAACTGAGCTACCACTCAGGACTAGACCCGGATCTTTGAGTGAGCCCACTCCAGCTTCTTCCCCATCTATGAACTGTTGGAACACATGAAGGGGCCAGTCCTGCAGAACTAAGGATCTGCACAGGATCTCCACAACACACCACAACAAGATACCTGAGAGCAGTCCCAGTGAGAATCCAGTACTGACAGTGTCACAGAAGCCAGAGCTCTCAAACCAGACCCATGACTCATTGCAATGAACATTTGCAAGTAAATACGTTTGGGCAACAGATGAATGTATTGTGTGACACAGCACGACACACTGCAGCTTTCATGGTGAGGTTTTTGTCGTTTGTTTTTCCTTTGTTTTATTATTTTAGGTGGGGAAAGGTTGCAAGGACAGAGGGCAATATGGAGGGATGGGGACACATGATGTGAAATTCACAAAGAATCAATAAAAAAAAGTTAAAACAAACAAACAAACAATGAACCAAAATATGTGTCTTCATTCAGCACACACTTTAATGGAATGGACAAAAGTGGAAATGATCAGAAATTTAAATAATATCTGCTGTCCACATCATTCCCTTGGTTGGAATTTGCAAGTATGGTCAGCCCTGTGATATTTTGGATAGCAGAGTGGTCTTCATTAGTCTTCCTTTCAGCCCTTCTTCACATCCTGGCCTTACAGATGCTCTTTCTCGTTTGAACTGTACATCAGACAGTGAGAACCACCAGGCAGTAAAATCATGATAATCAGTACAAACTAGGATCATATCCCTGAATTCTGAATTGACTAGTTAATTTTATAGGAAGCAGAAACTTGGAGTTGAGATGTGCTTATTGTACATTGTTCAGAAAAGAGAAAATTACACACATAGCTGCTACCTATGCTTAGTGAAGCTGAGAGGAAGCTAAAAGCCATGTTTGTACCATTGCTATAAACAAAACTGATATGAGCCAATAAGGCCATTTTATACCAATATGGCATTAGTACCTTAAAAATACTAATATTAGTATATTAAGGTAGTCTGATTTCATCAAATTTTTATGGATTAATATCAATAAATTAATCAAATATATTCTGAAATATGTGTATTCAGCTTGTTTCAGATCACAAGTATTTACTTATAGCAAAAAAAATCAAAGAAAATTACAGCATATATAACTGACCAATACACAACCATTAAAGTTATACAAGAATATATTGGGTACAAAAATTTATTATTAAAATTTAATAAATTTAAAATTTTTGAAGTTGAGTAAGTTTAGGCCTTTTTCAGGCAGAAAAAAACGAAAGCATATGTCCTGGCTAGATTTTGTTAACATGGGCCAGAGACATCTGGAAAGATGATATTTCAGTTAAGAATGCTTCTATCAGATTGGCTTGTAAGCAAGTCTGTAGGAGAAATTTCTTGATTAGTAATTGGTATGGGAACCCCAGCATACTGTTAGGTCAGGTGGTCCTGGGTAGCGTAAGAAAGCAAACTGAGCAGGGCATGGGGAGTGAACCAGAAAACTGCATTCCTCTATAGTCTCTGCTTCAGTTCCTGCCTTCAGATTCCTGCTCTGACTTCCCTCGATAATAGACTATGATATGGACGTACAAGCCAAATAAACCCTTTTTCCCTATCACAATCTTTGTTAACTTGACACAAACTAAGATCCCCTGAGTCAGGAACCTCCTCTGAGAAATTGCCTGGATTGGTGTACAATGGCTCACATTCTGGTGGTGGACAGGTTCCTTCAGGTAGCTGCCCAGATGAGAAAAGCTGTGTCAAAGGAAAATCATCCTCCACTGGCATGGCCTCCCACCGTGCCACTGAACTGATTCACTCCACTGTTGCTGATGCCTTCAAGATGGCAGAACCCACATTTCCAAGATTTTGTTTTGGATTAGGGACCAGCAGTTCTCCCGGAACTTCCCAAGCTTCTAGCATCAGATTGGGACTACTGACACACCATCTTTGTGGACAGAGTAACTACTGAGACAGCTCTTCTGGGGCTGCTCTGGCCTGTTGAGGTACTTACCCTCAAGCAGAGAATGCCAGGGTCTCACAGGTCTCAGGTGTAATCTGGCTATGGTTACTGGTGAGGAATGAAGGAGCCAGACTGTATGAGGTCCTGAGGAGATGTGTGTTATTGACATAGGCACAACCATATCAAGGACCTCAACACCATAGGAATGGCAAAGCCTATCCCAGGTAAGACCCAGAGTGAAATGGCAAAGCCTTCCTGGGGAGTTCTGAGTGTGGGTATTGATAGTGTAGGCAGAAAATGTCCACCATAGTTTTCTCCCCCTGAGTGTTTACAGCCTGAAGACTGCCTCCCCACCCCTGCTCCATGCTGTCCTTCTGGGTTGCCGAAGTTTCTGTATCTGAGAGCCCAGACCATCTGATCCCAGCTTTCTGTCCCTGTGTCCATCTGTCTGTTTTTTCTTCATTCCCTCCCTGTCCCAGTAAGGCCCAAGTTCCCACACCCCACTCCCTAACTACCCCACACCCAAACACGCCTACCATTCCACTCCACCCCATATCTCCCAAAGTTGCTTTCGGTCATGGTTTTTATCGCAGCAATAGAAAGCAAACTAGAACAGCCTAGGATTAATCATTATTGTTAATAGCAGTTACATAAAATGAATTAAATGTGAACTTTTCTTCTGCTTTACTGCATTTTTTCCAATTCTTTTAAAATAATAGCCAGGGTAGAAACAAACAATAATGTACATTAGTGAGTTCTGTTACAGACAATAGACAATCATTGTGCTATTTAATCCTCGTAGCCCTCTGAGGAAGGTATCGTAATTATCCCCTTCACAAATGAGACAATCAAGAGCCACGGAGGTTAAATAGTCACACAGTGAGCTTCTGTTAAGTTGGATATGGGTGGACAGACACAAACACTTAGCACAGCTTTGCAACGCTTTGGAACCCTTTTGAAATCAGTGTGTGGGTGGGGTTGCACACACACTTGCTTCAAAACTGTAAATTACAAATTTGCTCCC